GGAACTCTTTCCAAATACTTCCATTCCAACAAAAACAGTTGGCATGTAAATAGCTGGTCCAAATGTATTATTCAAATCGGAAGTGACCAAAGCAATAACAAAGCAACACTGCAGAAAGTCGACTCCTTTTTCTTCCATGTGAATAATAATATTTATGTGATGCATAGGGATGTAATTTAGTGAGTTGGTTAAATGTTACCATCAAGGTTTGACACCCAATCCTGTGTTTCAGAACTGCCCATGAAATCTCTGAACTAATTGAATACATTGTTACTTTCAAACAAGTAACTGAAGTGATGGCTTATAAACTCAGGTGAGATCCATAACTAGTGTTGCACATTAGAACAGATTTTGCAGGGTTTCTGATAATTTGTAATCTTGTTATTGTTGCTCTTTTTTTTTATTTCAGCTTGTAAGTAATTTTCTCAGACGTGAGAAAAACCTGTTTAGATCTTGAGTGCACAATACTGTTTACATTTAATTCAGAGATTCTGTTCATTTGTATGTGCTGATTAATTACCAGTTTTCACAGTGAGACACTTTACTACCCTGACAACTGTCTTAATTCTGTCTTTGAGAATAGACATGTGTCTGTTTTAATTTTCTGCATTTATTATGGCCAATCCATATATAAGAGATTTTGAATCAACAACAAGAAATTGCTCCTACTGCTGTTTCAGTGAAAAACTCCCTAAGTTGGAACAATGAATACCATTATCTGGTTAATTTGGTTATTCCAGCTGAAGTGATTCAAGTTGATTCCTGCAAAGTCATCATCTGATATTTCAGATGCTCCTCATTGCAATGGTGGTTTTACAGTGTAAATTTTGATGTTTCCCATTACTTATGTAATTATGACACCAGGAGAGTTGTGTGAAATAAAAAAGTAAGTTGAGTAATAAATATTGTTTTTGACACTATTTATTTACCAGTAATGCCTATTTGATTTGGGGTAATAACATGGTAATTTTTCACTTCTCAAAAAGATTGACTAAATTGCAAAGAATTTTAAAGGCACATGCCAACTTGAAACAGCAGCCACAAACCTTTAAGTCTGGAATACCATTTGAGATTTTTGTGCCACCTGAAACATGGTTGATACTTTTGCTGTTTAGCAGAATATTAAACACCTGGAAATGTATGATGAAGTGATGAGTGTCCCTAACCTTTGGAATTTAAAGAATCATGAAATGATGAGTTGGATAGCATCTGTAGAAAAAGCATCGAAGTGTGTGTGTTAAAAATGCTGAATAGAGATTCATGTGTTTGAACCTTAAGGACCAAAGACAAAGAATAAAAACCTCTGTGTAATTTTGTACACTTGAGCTAAGGAAGCAAAAGTATTGTTAGAGACTGTGAAGTCAGAGAAAGGAGCATTGACTGGTGCTATTTTGGCCTGGAAAAAAAATTTGGACTAAAAATTAGCTGCAAGTTTTTGTTTTAATCAGAATAACTCAAAACAGTTTTCAGTGACTTGGCATTGACATTATAAGCTTTTATCATGGTGTGATTTTGATTAGTAGTTAGAATTGTTTAGGTGCTTTTAGATGAATTTAGGAATGAAACGATTTAATCTGTTTTATTTGTATAGGAGAGTAGGATGTTTTTATTGGGGGTAATACATTTGATGAATTGCCTCCTGATTTTTTGTTTCTTCTGTTCATATTGTTACATATCTGCTGGTTTGTTAATTTCCCGTAGAAATTCTTTCCGAGAAACTTCAGTGACACAAGTCCTTTCTTGATTAAACTAGTTTATTCTTTCTCAATACAACTTTGTAATACACAGAATTTCCACAGTCACTTTAAACTTAACAACCTTTATAACACATGCTATAAATCACAGTGATTCACATACTTTACTTACGGTGCCTACTGTTTGCTTGACTCAATTATCTTTCTGCCGATCACGCTAGTTTTTCTCGCCAGGCTTATATATTAAAAAGAAAGCATCTCGAATGTATTCAGGCCTTCATGATCCTTCGAGAAACTCCAGCGCATATGCTCCCAGCATCGCGCGACTTCCGCTGTCGTAACAATATGTTTCTTTGAAATCACCATTTGACAGTTAAAACATTTCATAGTAAGAAATATTTTATGGTATCTTTAGTTACACCTAACTGAATTAATGAAAATTTAAAAGTATATTCTTATCACTAGCATAAGTGCATATAATACACAATCATTAAAGATAACAGAAACTATTTTATTATAAAGAGTGTGGAGAGAAATGGCAGAATTGTGTCTAATCATTTTAAGATGAGATGAAAATTGATCAGTATTGCCAGGAAAACCAACTAAATATTGAACAGTGTATCTAGAGTTATCTGTGTTTACCCTCTTACAAGAAGCAGTGTTACACACACATACATAGTGTGATTATTAAGTCACTATGGGAGAGCAAAGTCATATACAAATCAAGTTGATATTTAAGCACAAAATAGAATGAACAAACTTCATATACAGTACAGTTTTAAGTCTGGAATAATTTATCATATTGGTAGAATTATATCATTAAAATGGCTGCTGTACTAATACAGCAGCAGGACTAACACAAGATCTACATCAGATTGTTTAGAAAGATCTGAGTCAAGATGTGTATCTGATCATCAAAGATCGAGGCATTTGTAAATATCAGTGGACATTAATGAAAAGGGGCTACTGGTTATGGGGCTTCCTGAAGATGCTAGTTTATTGCCATATTCCTGAAGTCATTCTTCAGTGAAGGATACCACAGTATCAGACATTTGTGTGCTTTATTGGAAGAGGTTATATGCTATATATCCAAAACTGTTATCAATATAGATGCTATAATCTAAAGTCAACAACTGTAAGCATTTGCTATAGTGGCATTCTCTACTGCCATTTCAAGAAATAAGTGAACTGCACTGTTTCCTTATGTATGTTTACAATATTTTTTGCCCATATGTTATAAGTATTCATACTGACTGTAAAACTAATCTGTGTGTGTGTGTATAGCTGTCTAAGAGTAAGCCTACATCTAGGCTTCCAAAATCCAAAATTTGTAACTTATAGTAATATTTACATTCATAATCTCAACCTTACAGTTATAGGCTTGAAGGTTAGGGCATATTTGCACATTGCTATTTTTCTTTTACAATGGAGGATTTTTAGAGACAGTTTACTTAATGAAGTGATTCTTTTGAGTTGTAAGTATATATTTATATATCCATGAGCATTAATGGAAATAGTTTTGATTAAAGTGCTATAGCTTTTGTCACTTGTTACCTGTTGTATGCTGTTAAAAAAAAGAAAAACTATCCATAAAGGGTAATGAAACAAATGGAAATATACATTATCAGGCATGTATCTGATGAATCCATTTTTTGTAGTACTTAAGCACTAAGATTTTGTAAACTATAAAATAACCATTTTTTCCAAATGTAGGTGAAAGAATGGCGAGCAGCAGGGGGTAAAACCCCAATGTGTACAGGTCGACCTGGGTGGCTAACGATGAGTCTAAGGTTAGGTCAATATAAAAAGAAACTGCATCAGATATATCTTCCATTGATGGATGTTTTAGATATAGATACCAGTCGACAGATAGTTAGAGTTGAGCCATTAGTAACCATGGGTCAGCTATCAGCTACTCTGCTTTCTCAGGGATGGACACTTCCAGTTGTTCCTGAATTAGATGATCTCACAGTTGGTAATAATTAGCTCATTTTATTTTACTGTTGTGTTCATTAAAAAAAAACAATTCTACAATGTAAGGCATAGAAGTAGGATTCTTAAATGGGTTTGGATTTTGGATATTAAATTATTTAGAAGAAAATTCAGTCTCATTGCACCTTAGTTGAACTTATTTTGATGTAGAATAATTATTTATTACAGTAATTATCAACAGTTATTTCAGTCTATATTTAATAACATGAGATTGCAGTATCGTCAACATGATGCATATATTGTTTGATATCTGCGTTACAAATAAAGTACAACTACAGTTGGAGTGCATTTAAAATACTTAATGTCATTAGGAATGAAAATATAAGCAAGAGTTTCATATGGATATACAATTGTTGTTACATTAACATATTATTGTCAGTCTGGAATTCTAGTATGGGAAAAACATCCCATTTTTAGTCTGTATGACATGATGTGTTTCTGAGTATTATCATTTCTGTGATTCTGTATAAATATAACCTTTATGCCAGGCCCATGTTCAGCTTTTCTTAATCTGGAGTGTTGACGTGGGTGGCATTGAGACATATAATGGGGCCAAATCTAAGATAATGGAAAGTATTAGTTGGGGCTGAGCAACAACATTTTTGGGGACAGCCCCCATCAGCCCTGTTTTGTGCATTTATTTTCTTCAAATTACTTTTCATTTTTATGTATGATTTATTTTCTATAATATCTTTCTCTGTTTCATTGTGGTGTACCTCTAAATTTCTTTTCTTGTATAGTATATTCTCTCTCCATTTGTATTATTTCTTTTCTGATTTATTTGCTTATTGTTTTCTTTGAGATTTATCTTTCCCATGTTAGTTTTGTGCATCATATTTTAAACATTTAAACGTCTTTAGTAGATTATCTTAACATGTTTTTATATATTATATACGTAGATGGAAGATTTTTTGTATGTGTTAGTATCACACAGTTTTTAGACTTATTTTTCCATCTATTTTTGATGTATATAACTTATAGGTGGGCTGATAAATGGTACTGGAGTAGAGACATCATCTCATATTTATGGCCTATTTCAACACATCTGTGTATCCTATGAATTAATACTGTCAGATGGAAGTGTTGTTACATGTACAAAGGTGATCATCTGTGTCAATTCTTCAGTTATCTTATAGAAATTCAGGTTTATAACACAGTTAGTAGACATTTCAAATTGTAAACCTTAATTAAATGTCACATGTAATAATCTTTTGGTATGTTGGTTAAAGATTCCAGTTGTCAAGCATCAGATTAGGGGTTGAAAATGAAAAATAATTTTAGATTACAAGACAATACTAATGACATGGATGTTGAGTTGTTTGCTAGAATCAAATTTCATAATGTTTTTTTCAGGCCAAATCATGTGATTAAAACTTTTCACAGGACACCTGAAAATTTTTGACTGCCCACTAGGATACAATGTAACAATCTGCTTTGTTTTGAAGCAAAGAATAATTGATATTCTGTGAGCTCAAGAGCATTCACTTGTACCTAAACACTTTTCTAAACATGAACAAAAAAAAAGCTCCCTTTTTTAAATATGTAGATGATGCAAAGAATTTAGAACAGTTCAAGAGGCAGTTCTCGCACATTAATTCTTTGCAAGGCAGAAAAAATATCCATTGAATCACAATATTTTCAATTAAAATTCATAATGTCCAATTTAATATAGATATGTATATATGTGTGTACTATCACTCGTAACATTAACCCTTTCCTTTCATGGCTACTTGGGTTTTAGATGATTATATTTATTACTTCTTAGATGAATTGCATCTTAACTATTTGCTTTTCATCATATAATAATTACAGAAGCCTTTGATAACAGTCTAATTATTTTAGTTCTATTTCTTACCCTTTTTTTTTTCTGGATAACTTGTTTAACAGATAAGAAATTAAATATTTACCAGGCTCACGTGGCATGGATATACTGTAATGTACAAATATTCAGTTTGCTCTACCCAGCTTATAAATCTTGCATTATTGTGTAGTTTCGGCTGCTTTTATGTATTGTCATAAACTCTTATTTACTTTCTTATTAATATATATATTAGCAGTGCATTAAGAAAAAGCTTTTATTTACATGCCAATTTTAGCTTTTAATGTGTGTTGCACACATTGTTTAGCAAATTCATTTTCATGAGACCTGTTTATGAAATGCCTAGCTAATAATTTAACATTAATTTGCAACTCAGATACTTTTTCAACACTAGCAACATTTTGTTATGAAATACCATATATATTGAAATATAGTTGAATGTATTTATTTTTCATGATTCCAGTTCAGAGTTTGGATATTCATCCAGCAGCCATGTATCAGTTAAGAGTTTTGGCTATTTGCAGTGAAAATTCAAGCTATTTTTATAAGCAACAATGTTATCTTATTCCAATTTTTCCAAGCCCGTTCCCATGGCTGTGGTTTCGCTAGATAGTAGATAGGGACAGTGGGAATCTCGTTAATACATATTAAGTCTCACAGAAAACAAGCTATTCTTTATCC